TCGTTAAAATAGCAGCAAGCAGGAACAAAACAAAACAAAACTGAACAGCAATTAAAATGCAATTCTGAAACCTGATTAATTTGATCAAAAAACAGTTACAATCCCAATGTTCTTTTTAAAAAGGAAAGCATTATAAATCTTCTGAAAGGCCATTCAGGAAGGGAAAGAACATGGAACGGAACTCCAAAGTCTAAGTGCAGCCATTGAAGCAACCTCCCACTTCAACCCACCCCAAAAAACATATTCCTGGCATTGTTGCAATCCTTCCAAGCATGAGCTCAGAAGTAGTAAGTGCATATGTAGAAAGACTGTTTTTCCCACATCCTGATTTTAAACCAGGAATGGAAATGTTGAGTGGCCAAGGGTCACACTTAAGAGGCAGTGGGGGAGAGCAGTGGTTGAATGGGCAATGAGGCATAATAGGTGAAGCCATTTCTGTTGTATGAGTGGAGCTAAGATCTGAGTGGATTTCTTCTAGCTATTGTTGTGGGGAGAGGAGAAAATGTCATTCCCCATGCGGGCTTTGTTAGTTAAAACTAGCGCCTTGAACTGTACTCAGAAACCTATTGGAAAGTAGAGGCACTAATAATATTAATGCAATTAATGAACAGGGAGAGCACCTACAGTAAGTCTTTACTTTCTCCATCCATCCATCCATCCTTCCATCCATCCATCCATCCATCCATCCATTCATCCATCCATCCATCCATCCAGTTTTTCTACTGGCAATATATAGTGGCGGGAATTACTTGACACAAGTAATCAATCAGGCCTCCTTGGAGTGAAATGAGCTGACAAGTTGTTCATGAGGTTTCACATGTTTCTGTTTTGCGCTGTAATGGAAACCGTCTGTGTTGCTTGGCCTGGCTTTTCTGCAAACACAAATGCTGGTATAATTAAGTGTGCAGGGAGGGAAGGCATTAACTGGTACATAGGAAGAAATAAGGAAGTTTGATCCTGGGACTGAAGCAGAGGTGGTATTCAGCAGGTTCTGACCAGTTCTGAAGAACCGATAGCGGAAATTTTGAGTAGTTCAGAGAACCAGCAAATACCACCTCTGATTGGAGATTTTACAATATCCTTCCCCTGCCATGCCCACCAAGCTACGCCCACAGAACCGGTAATAAAAAAAATTGAATCCCACCACTGGAGTACTATTGAAAATTTCCAAAACTGAAGTATTAGCTCCCATAGCTCCCATATTGATTACAGGAGTCTCCATCCTTGGCAACTTTAAGACTTGTGGATTTTGTGGCTTTGCTAGCTGAGGAATTCTGGAAGTTGAAGTCCACAAGTCTTAAAGTTGCCAAGGTTGGAGACCCCTGAATTAGGACTAGAAGAGACTGAAACCTTTTCAATGTGAAATTGTCTCAACAATATAAGTCACTCATTGTAATGCCGCCTTGTCCAAATGCTGAGGCCTTTAACTCTTCCCTGGGATTCACTTCTGCCACTGATTTTCTGAACTGGGCTATGACATAATTACAGTGAAGTCTTTTTGGGTGGGCCTCAGTTCTCTTTGATCCTTTTTGAATGGTAAGTTCCAGCGGTACTGATTAACAAGCAGGAGATTAGAAGGGAGGAACAACAGTAAATTCTGGAACATGGAGGGAGCATCAGAGAGGAAAACAAGCATTTGTTCGTTTTGATTATTCTCTTGGGAGGACAGATGGTTTTATTATGAAGATCAAAAAATTACAGAAAATATCCTTGAAGCAATTCAGTAACTTGGCCAATTCTTGCTTTCTGCTGGGTTATAGATGGGCAGAGTGATATCTGCGCCCCTCTCCACTGAAAAGAATTTGAGACAAATTCTTAGCTCCATAGAAAGATAGGGTACACTCGACACTATATGAGTTTGACCCTATAGCTAAACCATGTCTTCCACAACTACTACTACTACTATTTCCCAGTTGAAGGACAAATACTTGGGGTTGTAGCCAGCTAAAGGACTGTAAATTTTTAATAGCAATGGTCTTAATATCTCAATGCAAAATATATGTGCATCAGTTACAGATGTAGGGTGAATGAAGAGTGAAGGTGCTTATATTGTTCTTGTGTAATGGCAACACAATCTACTGCATATTTTGATCTTAGAATTCTAGTTTTTGATTATCTAACTTTATAAATTGCCCAGAGACTGGCAAAAATAAAAAAAAATTCTATCCCTGTAAAATTAAATAATCATCCACACTCTAATGGTAGTTTCTGAGTGCATCTTGCCAAGCTGAGAATTGTTGCATTAATATATGTGTTTGTATAACTGACACGGCAGATTGCTTTTGTGTCATGTCTTTGCCAAGGGTTCATTAAAAGCACAAAATTCAGGATTAATGCAGCCTGCTTTGCATCAAGTGTAAATATTGCAAGTTATAAGCTTCAGTTCCTTTTATTGTCTCTTTTTTCTACACGCAGCTAATTATACTCAATGTTTATAAGTTTCTGAATATTCAGGTCTTCCACAGGGAGATCGTTCTGTCTCTTTCTCTCTCTTCCCCACCCTCTTCTTGTTGGAGACATGGAGAAAGAAGAGCTGGACTTTACTACAAAGAGAAAATTGGACTGAAATGAAGTTCCTCAATATTTAATCTAGCAAGGTGGAAACATTGCTATGACACAGATATAGATTACTACAACAAATGGAGTTAAGTCATGGAGGAGAACTGAGGCAAAGCTTGGGTCTTCAGGTCACACTTTGACCAACCTCTACCATGCTGCTTTATCTTCTATCCAATTTAAGAACATCTGATGTCAGGAGCTGGCCTCTGATGATGAAAATGAATTAAGAGATTGGAACCCATACTCCTTAGAGCCCTGTCTCTTGGATTTTGCATTTGAAAACATTCTAAATTTATATAAAACGTGTTAGGACCAATAATTCAGCAGCAACACCCTAACTTTGCCATCTCTGGGAATATTTTTTAGCACAGGTAGACATTAGAACATAGTGGGATAATCCAGATGGCCATTTTGCCATGCTTTCCTCTTACCCTGAAGCCAGAATGAATCACATTAACATCATTACGTAATACCATGTCCTTAATGGAGTTCTGATTTTTTTTCTAAAGTGCTGTTGACTTATCAATCTAACAACCACTTAGCTGTCAGAAAGCTTTCTCTCTTGCCCGATGTCATGCAACCTCTTCCCTCTGCAGTACTGGATCGTAAATACTAAAAAGTACCATTGTCTGAAAGTACCATTGTGATTTTGGAGAGGTAAAAACTACAAAACATATTATTCTTTGTTGGTCTTTTTATAGAGACAACTGAACTAGATTCATACTACCTCTGATTAATAGAACATGCTGGTCACTCAGGTTCAGTCTATGCCCAGATCTATGTTCATATCTTTTGTTATAGCATATGTAGCCAGGCTTTCTGCAGCATCACAGAAGATCACACAGAACTTGATGGACCAATTTTCCAATGCATTCTATGCAACTATAATTCAATTAAATTTTAGATCACTTTGTTATGTAACTTTCGATGTTATCACATTTACTATAATTTTAGTGGTTGCATTATAATTTGATATAAGCTGTATCACGGACCTCACTCATATGTATTAGGATGTTTTACAAATGTATTTTAATTCTGTCTTAAACTTTATTTCTATGTGGATGATCTCAGTGTAGGGCAGCAAGGATGTGGGAACAACACATTCTAACAGACTTCCAACGAAGTAAATAGGTAATGTTTAAAACTTTACACAAGTGATATTCAGGAATTAGATTTTCCTGGGAATTTTTTTTCTCCTTGGCCATGGACTCTTCCATTTCACAGTTGAATGGTCTGTCTGTCTATTTGGCCACAACATCATGGAGTAAAATCACTTACGCCTGTCTCACAAGTTTAAGGTTACATTTTGGCTTGCCGTTTTGAGCTTGGATGTGAATGGCAGTTGGTTTGGCAAAAAAGATGGAGGAGAGTCAGCTGTTTTCTGCTTCAGGGGGCTCAAATAATATTGACAGCCTGTACTTTGAAATGTGTGCTAGTCAGAACCCAGAGGCAGAGAGATAATCTCCAAGGAGAAATATTAGCCAGATGAAGGAAATGCCAAAATATTTGGGTGCCCAGAAATGTCAACATATGACAAATTCACCATGTCTTTATTTTTTTTTCAACTTAAGATTCAAAGACCAAGTTATATCCACAAAGTATACTTTTCCCACAAAATTGATATTTTTCAAGAGAAAAAAAACACATAATATAACATCTTCCATGTCTCTTCAGCAGAAAAACTCAGTTACATACATCTGCATTCAGGCATAAAACCAACTAGCTAATCCTTCTCAGCAAAATTATGCCCATCGTTCAGTAACTACAAATATATCCATTGCCAGCAGTGGATTTCACATTTGGAGAGTCCCAACAAGTTAAAATTGGTATTTTAAATGCTAAATTCATTGTCTCTATGCATTAAAAAAAATGAGAAAAAGAAAAGATGGTTGATTTCCCTGGGTTAAATTCATTGGTACCATTAAGAATCCTGAATTGCAACCTGCTTGTTGGAGATAAATGTTATGAAAATAAAAGGAATGCGGTAAGCACTGTTCTTCTGCTAATGTTGCAAAAATAAAGCCATATCCCGAGTGAATTGCTTTTTCTTCACCTTAGAGAAGGGTACTGCCAGACGAAAAGGACAGATGGTTTCACTTTTTTTCTGCAGTTTTTTCACACAAAACAGCAGCCCCATAAAATGGTTCACATGGCCTCAGAAAACCCACCGTAATGGGGTTGCATGGACAGAATGTAAGACTGTCCTGTTGAAATGATAACATTGCACGTAAGTCTCTTATTATTGCAGGCCCTGAAGTAACTTGTACAAAAATTGTAGGCTTAGAAAAGTCAGTCCGCTCATTTGTCATTGAACCACCATAATTAAAAATTAAAATTCCTCCCCATCCCCTCAAATCCTAACTCCAAAATGGACTGAAATCCCTCTGAATTCATCAGAATGTTTCTTCCAGAATAGGGACTTGAGTCTTCTGCCTTTTTTCATAGAACCCAAATGGTGTTCGTGTCATCGTCAAAGCTTCAAGGATGGAAGTAAAGTTTCTAAAACTTTCTCAGCTTCTTGATCCTAAAAAGGAAAACAAAAAAGAATTAAGCTTATGTAATTATGCCTTAAGAACCACCCAAGCCAGCACCAATTTCTGCATCAAAACAAGAGATTATGTTCAGTGTTAATAGTGCAGAAGGGATTACTGGTTCATTCTTCTTCCAATTGCAGTACAAAAACAAAGTAGGAGAAAGGAGAGAAGACACTACTTTTATACTATACTTTTCCTTTTCCCTTTCCAATTTCCTTCTAAAGAAGTGTAATGAAGTGTTATCTACAACTCTAATGGCTTATAATTAAGGGTTTTCATCTTCCAACAGCCACCTTTGGAGGTATTTCAGTGAACCCAACATTCCTAAGGCTTGAAGTTTCTAATTTGAATTTTCTCCCTCTCCTTTGTTGCTGTTAAACACAGATACTCAAGAGGGACCTCCGCTTTGTTGGTTTTACAGCTGCTCTGTACCTCTGAGTGTTTTGTTGTTCTTGAACTTCAAGTTCAGCTCCCACAAATCTGGGTGGCCCTTGGAAATGAAATTGTATTAAGTGATTCATCTCTAAGCAAAACTTATTTGCACGAAGTCATTTTCTATCTGGTTTAGATTCCATAACTATCACCACAAATTTGCTCATAGTGTAGTGGAAAACAAAGACATTCGTATAAGATAATTTATCTATACAGCTAGTCCTCATTTAATGGCAGCATCGTTTAGTGACCCTTCACAGTTACGGCCAAACTAGTCATTTTGTGATCAATATTTGAATTTACAACCTTTGCAGGTCTGTATCTCAAATGATCTGAGTAACACTCAAGGGACTTGTGGCTCAGTAACTAAGACACTGAGCTTGTCAATCAGAAAGGTTGACAGTTCGAATTCCTAGCACCGCGTAACTGAGTGAGATCCTGTTACTTGTCGCAGCTTCTGCCAACCTAGCAGTTTGAAAGCATGTAAAAATGCACGTAGAAAAATAGGGACCACTTTGGTGGGAAGGTAAATAGCGTTCTATGCGCTTAGTCATGCCAGCCACATGACCACGGAGACATCTTCAGACAGCGTTGACTCTTTGGCTTTGTAACAGAGATAAGCACCTCCCCCTAGAGCCAGAAACGACTAGCACATATGTTCGAGGGGAACCTTTTCCTTTAACTCAAAGGAAAACTGAAGATTTTATCTTCCTAGGCTCAAAAATACATAGAGTTGGTGAGGATAGCCATGCAAAAAAGAGGCATCTGCATTCCAGGGGAAAGTCAATGACAGATTTTGACAAAATATAGAGATCACACTATGTAGCCAGTCCTCAACTTACGACCAAAATAGAGCCCAAAATTTCTGTTGCCAAGTGAAACATTTGTTAAAATGACCTTTGCCCCATTTTGTGACCTTTCTGGCCATCGTTGTTAAGTGAATCACTGGAGTTGTTAAGTTAGTCACACAGTTGTAAAGTGGAATCTGGCTTCCCCGTTGACTTTGCTTGTCATAAAAGGTGATCACATGACCCCAGGACACTTCAACCGTTGAAATATGAGCCAGTTGCCAAGCTTCTGAATTTTGATCACATGACCATGGGAATGCTGAAATGGTCATAAGTGTGAAAAATGATCTGAGTCAGTTTTTTCAGTGCCGTTGTAACTTTGAGCAGTCGCTAAATGAACTGTTGTAAGTTGAGGACTACTTGCAAATGTTATGACAATAAAAATATGAATTATCAAGGCTATGGTTTTCCCAATGGAAACATACAATGATGAAAGTTAGACCATCAGAACTAAGACAAATTGGTACCCTTGAATGCTGCAGAATATTGTGAAAACACCTCGGCCTGCAAGTAGAACAAATCATCAATATAAAAACTAATTGAAGAAAATTCTCCTCATTGGAAACATTAATAATAAAGGAAAAGCTTAAGTATTTCAGATGCATAATCTGAAGGCAAAATTATTTGAGAAGATTTTTATATATTTGGAAAAATGAAAGGCAAATGAAAAAGATGACAAAAGGCAGGAACTATCATGTGTGGTAGACTTGTGGGAAAGCTAAGAAATTTTTTAAAATGATATTGCAAAAAAATCCAGAACTCTTTTTAATGGGACTTATGGGCAATGAATTAGAAAAATATCCATGGTGGACTGATTTTGTATATGGGTCACTACAGCAAAATTATTTGATGTATAATAATGCAAGAAGAACAAAATCTTCACAGTTGAAAAATGGGTTATGAAAATGTCAGAATTCACAGAAATGGCAACATTGACCTGTCTGGTCAGGGGGAAAAATGCATTTTTTTTGTCTGGAAAAAGTCTGGAAACATTTGTTACTGAAAGAAGAAAGAAAGGACACAATGACTTATGAGATTGAAGGTTAAGAAAGATATAAATTAAGTAAGAGGCTAAGGGATTTATATAATATCTAAGAGAGAGGAAGGACTATAAAATTGTAACTATTTGTTGAAAGGCCAAAAGTTGTATTTCTTAACTTTAGGGTTTTGGTCCCTTCTATTTCATTTCTTTCCTTTTTTTTTCTTTTGATCTGTCTTTTACTTTACGATTTTTAAAAAAAAATAAATATAAATAAAAGGAAAAGAGCTGACAAAAAACAAGGGAGTCAGATACTATCACTTGTGACACAAGCATGAACTTACAATAACTTTTTTTTTAAAACCAGAAACTAATCCTGGCAAAATAAGGGTCAGAAGTGACTGAACTGAATGAACAACAAATTTAACGAATGTAACAAACAACAAAAGCCCCACTTATAAACATAAGTATTTATGTACAAGCATAAGAAGGTCTCTCTTTGCTGCAAATGTCAGAAATGTCAATATTGGGATTTATCTGTCCTTTGGAAAGGATCAGAGAACTTGGCACTGTACTCACTAGAATTAAGTAGAAGAATAACGTGTTGTCACTGCTCAGAAAAAGGTAGTTTTCTTCAAGTTGAGTTTAACTCCTAATGACTTCACAGAGGAAGCCAAGTAGTCTTCTTGGCAACAAGATGGACATCGGTTGTCACTGCTGACTTCTGAAATACATTTTCTCAGTCTAATTTATTATGCTGGGATCCTGAGGCCCAAGTATTGCCATTTCCCAAGGATAGTTGAACACTAAGCATTATTTATATTGGAGGGCAATATTAAAAGCTTCATGTCTTCAAATGTAAGCTGGATAGATAGTTGCAAGTAGACAATAAAACTAGCTAAGCAATAATGTATCAGTGCTGGAAAGGAATTTATAGTATTCATTCATTCCCAATCTCTGTCTTCACTACACAAAACTTATACTGCATATATTGCCTAGTTAAAAAGTGCTAGATAACTAAATCACAATGAGATATAATTTCTATGATTCCTTATCCCCCTATTTTTAAAGTCATTTTAAAGCATGATGAATCAGTAGGCTTAATAAGGTTAAGTAGCCATTTTCTCCTGAAGAGTAATTTCTAAATCAGACAGTAATAATTACAAAATTAGACCACAGCAGTCAAAGTCACCAGCTGCACTGCAAATTGTCCAGTTCATAATCAAATTAGACATTAGCCCCGTGATCGTATCATCTAGTTAAGTATAATTTCATAATATAGGATTTTACACATTTTCAACATTGCAATCACGGACGTCAGAAGTTCTTTCATGTTCTTATGCCTTATTTTGCAAGACTTTGAACACATAACTTCTTTTCGTTTCTAGATCTTCCTCTATAATGTTAAAGAACTCAGTTTGCCAAGAATTTCTTCTCTGCATCTTGACTGAAATTAATCAGAGCTGCTGAATCCAGACAACATCTTCTGACATCAACAGATAGTGTAGAAAGTAAAAATATACAACTCTCAGACTTACCTCTTTGGTGACCGGCAGAATGGACAATGCTCTTTCACAGCAACTCAGAGCATTGCTCCTCTGGCCCAGATCTTTGTAGCACTTAGACAGAAAGAAGCACAAGGGAAAAAATTACAACAGGCGTTTAGTGACCAGAAATTTGTTTTGCATTCAAAATCAAACATAAGAAAAGAAAGTTGAGAAAGACCGCAATGCCCCATACCTTTGCCAAATACACATAGTTGCATTTAGAATATCTGGGATGTATTTCTTCAGCCTGAGTATAAAGACAAAAAGATAGAAAGATGAGAATGCCATAGCAATACCAGGCATATTTCCATTTAACAATTGCTTTGATGCCCCAAACCTTCAAAATATTTTGTACTGCTCGTATGTTTTCACAATGCCAATATCCATTTCTGGATCTGAACAGCTCTCTCTTGAGTTGCTAATGGTTGAAGATACACATTGACAGGAAGCTAGTACTGTGCTCTCATTCCAATTGTTATTTTGCTGTCTCTGTTTTTGCAGGGAACAATATTAAAAGGTATTGATAAAAGCCATTGCTTGGTCCAAGGGGGATGTTTTGGCATTATGTAGCTGCAGGGAAGGAAGAGAGCCAAGTGGTGGCATTCAACCGACTCAGTGGTGGTATTCGACCGGTTCTACCTGGTTCTGGAGAGCTGGTAGTGGCAATGAGCAGCGGAGACAGAACCAGTTCTCTCCTCTGCTCTGTGTTTGGCCCACCTTCCCGCCTGGGCTCCCAAGCTCACTTTTATGGCCAGAATTCAAAGCACAGCTGCTTTGCACGTCACAGAATAGCGCCGAGTGGCCGCTGCTGCAGCGACCAGCATCATGCAGGCTTGCAGGAGGTGAGTTAGAATGCCTCTGCGCCTGTGCAAATGCCTCTGCATCTGTGCAAAGTGATCATTTTGTGTGTGTGCATGCAAAGTGTGCGCATGCCCGCCACGCCCACCAAACCGTTGGCAACTTTATTTGAATACCACCACTGTGAGGACTGTAGAAAAGGAATTCCCATCAGTGAGAATTAACTTGCTCCCAAGCTTTGGAGGAGTTGCTATGTTGAAAATCAACAGAATTTGGGTGATTCATGATGCCCCACAGAAGTCAATAAGCTTAGCTACTCAGCAGGGCAAAGGATCATAGAGGTATGGCACCAATCCAGAATTGATGCCAAAGCCTCAGGTGCCAATGGTCTAGCACAGTGGTGGCTATCCTTTTTGGGTTCCTGTGCCAAAAATTGTGTGTGCTTGCACCTGTGCACTCATGTGCCATCACTCAGAAGGCAATGCATGCACGCCCCCTGGGCATATGTGCACAATCCCCCCAGCTCCCCCCAGCCCCCTTACCTGCACTGCACCTTACAGCTGCTTTTTGGCCTCCCAGAGGCTTGAAAAAAAGCCTCTGCAGGCTTTGCAGGCCAAATAATAGGCCCATTTTGTCACTTCCGGTATTACAGGAAGTGATGAAACGGGCCTATTCTACCTGCAAGCCTCAGGGAGTCCGAAAAAGGCCTCAAACCAGCTGAAAATCAACTGTGAGGCACGCGCATCACAGTGAGTAAGTTTGCCTGTGGCTTGGGTACCTGCACAAATGGCTCTGCGTGCCACCTCTGTCAGCATATCTATGATACAATTCTTACAAAGCAAATAAATCTTCCCAAAACTTAGCTAGTAAGAGTAAGGTTGCAGATACCCATAGTTTGTGTGGTTCATACAAGATTGAGGCCAGCAACACACAAAAGATGCACCTGGGGCAAGCAAAAACTAGACATTTCAGTAATGTAAGCACCATATAGCCTCCACAAGTTTGAGACTTCTGTTGCTATTAGCCACAGGTCACCTCTATTGATTTACTGAACTATTACGACCAATTCAGTGAGCAGAAACAGGCTTAATATTTGCTTGGTTTCTACCAACTGTTGAAATAGTACACAAAGGATCACCTTGTAGACTGGTAGGAGGAAGGATCCCAGAGACCAGACAGAAATCGTTTAGCAAGGGCTATTCTACTCCCATGATCTTCATACTCTTTCTTATCAAAGTCATTCAATAGAGGCTGCTGGACTATTTGTACAGTATATCACTTTCAGGAAGGGATCCGAGGATGGGAAACTGTCTGAAATCTAGACGATCCATTGTTTCTACTTCTTAACTAGCACTAAGGATTAAAGTGAGGACACCCCCCCCCCCTCCAATGAAGTAACAAAGAGAAAAGTGGGGAGGGAAGCAGAGGAGAAGAAGAGAAGGGGATGAAAGCTCTAATCTCTTTAAGGCATTTGTGCTAAGCAGCAATTATTAAATTGCTCAGACAAACTTCCTGTGTTTAACTTGTCAGAGATGACAACAGGAGCTATTCCCACAGGAAATGCTCATAAACAACTCTACGGATGAAGTATAAAGGCTGAATATTTAATTGCAAAAAAAAAGAGCAACACAGCAGATCCTGAAATTCAGCTTAGGTGAACAGGAGCGGTCACTCTTCTAAAGACATCATCTGAAAAAAATCTTTTGATGAGCTCCTGAGAACAATTTGTTGAACAAATTTCTTGAAGGCCAGCCTGTTGGCAGCCAGAAAGAAGAGGGAATATTTTATCTACCTTCAGGAAATTCTGCAAAGCCTCGTGTATTGTCGAAGTTGGCGGAGTCCCAAAAAGAGCAGCAGCTACTTTTTTCTCAATCCAAGACAACTGAGCGACCTTTGGAAATCCCAACAGGAAGAAGGGAAAGGTGGAAAAAAAATCATTTAGTGTGTTTTTTTGCGTATTAAGTGTCATGATAAAATATCTCTAAGGGTCCTATACCAGTGGTGGCTAACCTTTTTCGGCTCCCATGCCAGCACCTAGAAGGCAATGTGCGCTGGCCCCCCGATGCCCCCTGCATATGCACATGACCCCCCCCGCGCCCTCTGCACATGCACGCGCATCTCCTGCGCCCCTGCCAGATACCAACAATCAGCTGTTGGGCATGCAGGACATGCATGCACAGTGGGGGGTCTTCCAGGCAACTTCTGGCACACGTGCCATAGGTTTGTCATCACGGTCCTATATACTGTTCATTTTTTTTTCTACTTCCAACCGACAGAAAAGCATTCTGCCCATTTTTTAAATTATTGCACTGCTGTGTTTTCTTTATGGTCAAAATGGGCCACAGGGGCTGAACTAAAAAAATTTTATGGTTGCATGTAGTGTAGGAGAGTTTAAACCCTTGGACTACCAACTTATTCATATATTACTATGTTTTGCCTTTGGGATTTTGGACTAAGGTAAGGAAGGACCCAAAAACTTCTCAGAACAAGGCTGGTTGCATCCTCATCTACTAAGAAGAATAGGCTGTATCATGAATACACATTTTATGTAGTTATTGGAATGATTTGCAAAAGGATGGAAACTATGCCAAACACAGAGAGCCCTTTCTTACAACCCCTTTGTAAGAAAAGTGTGATCAAACTCACTACTGAAAGGGTTCATTTTTTAACAGACTTTTACTCTTTCTACATTAGTCCTTGCCTTATGACCACAACTGGAGCTGGAACTTTCATCCCTGGGCGATGCAGTCATTAACTGAATCGTGCCCAATTTTACCATCTTTTTTGCCACTGGTTGTTAAACAAATCACAAAGTTGTTAAGCGAATCCAGCTTTCCCAATTGACCTTGCCTATTGGAAATCCCCTGGGAAGGTTACAAATCATGTGAGCCCAGAACGTTGCAAGCACTGTAAATAGATGCTGATTGCCAAAAGTCCTTATCGTGGTCACAAGAAGATTGCAATGGTCATAAGTGCAAGCACTAGTCGTTTTCAGTGTTGTTTTAACTTTGAAAGGTTCTTAAATGAATGGTTGTAAGTAGAGGACTACCTATGTACTCTTCTAAGTCCTTTTGGGGCTTATTCTTATATCCAGCCAACCACGGCACAAATATGCCTTGTTAGCAGATTTCTGAAAATAGATCCTCTTGATATTGCTTTCAATTCAGGCCCAGCTTATTATAGGCAGCTTAAAGTATGTTCCAATATTGAAATATTGGTTTTTCTGTTCTTCCAACACACATATTGCTGTATAATCTGTGATGGCTGGTTGATTATGTTGGTGATGATGTCCTTAAAAGGTTGGCATAAGCCTTAGTAAGACCACACCTAGAATACTGCATCCAGTTTTGGTCACACTATAAAAAGATGTTGAGACTCTAGAAAAAGTGGAGAGAAGAGAAGAGCAACCAGGATGATTAGGAGACTGGAGGCTAAAACATATGAAGAACGGTTACAAGAACTGGGCATGGCTAGTCTAGTGAAGAGAAGGACCAGGGGACACATGATAGCAGTCTTCCAATATTTAGGGGCTGCCACAGAGAGGAAAGGGTCAAGCTATTTTCCAAAGCACCTGAAGGCCAGATGAGGAATAATGGATGGAAACTGATCAAGGAGAGATTCAACCTAGAAATAAGGAGAAATTTTCTGACAGTAAGAACAATCAAGCAATGGAACAACTTGCCTTCACAAGTTGTGGGTTCCAAGTTTCAGCACTGGAAGCTTTAAAGTTTCATTACTGGAAGCTTTCAAAAAGAGACCGGACTTTCATCTGTCAGAAATGGTGTAGGGTCTCCTGCTTGGGAGGGTTGGACTAGATGACCTACAAGGTCCCTTCCAACTCTGTTAATCTGTTAAATACTTGCCTCTTTCTTTAGGCTGCAGTGGGAATGTTCCTGCCCTCAAGTTGCTGGGCACACCTTCTATACCTATTCTGACTTAGGCTGCCAAAGAGATCAAAACTCCTAGCTTCCGCCAATGCAATTGGCCTGCAGAAGCATTATGCAGTAGGCATAGTCCTTATAAACACAAGCTTAGCACTGAAGAGTGCTTAGATCTGTTTTTAAACATATTTAGCCATCTTTTGAAAAAGAAGTCTTTTATAAACCAATAACTGTGGTCTTTAAAAAAAAGACTAGTGTCCTGGTTGATTTAAATGGGCAAAGAGAGTTCTCACAAATGAAGGCAAATTTGTTCATTCGTTCAGAGAGAGTTCTGCCAGCTGTTTACTACTGTTTGTTACAAATGAGTGCATTTCTGCTGTTTTGAATGACTAGGCATTTTTACATGATTGCCCTTTTTAATGGTTGTGGGGCGTGTGTGTGTGTATGTTGTTCTGCCTATTCCGGTGCAATTTTCTGTACTTTATGGGCTACTCTTCAGTGGTGGGATTCAAAATTTTGTACTACTGGTTCTGTGGGCGTGGCTTGGTGGGCATGGCAGGGGAAGGATACTGTAAAACAGGGGTGTTCAATCTTGGCAACTTTAAGACTTGTGGACTTCAACTCCCAGAGCAAAGCTGGCTGAGGAATTCTGGGAGTTGAAGTCCACAAGTCTTAAAGTTGCCAAGGTTGGACACCCCTGCTGTAAAATCTCCATTCCTTCCTCAACCCACTAACCTGCTTTCCAGCTCTGTTCTCCCATGCAGGGCAACAAAAGAAGACCCAGCCGATCAGCTGGGACTCGGGAGCCAGTCAGAGGTGGCTTTTGCCAGTTCTCTGAACTACTCAAAATTTCCGCTACCGGTTCTCCAGAACTTGTCAGAACCTGCTGAATACCACCTCTGCTACTCTTGCTGATGTTATCCTGATTTGGGATATAGGAGAGCTACAGTGAAGTTGTCAAGGATTTTGCCTGTTTCATCTTTCAGCCTCAAAGAGGAGGCCTGTGGCACAGGCTAAATCTGACCTGACCATTTCCTGCCAACACTGACATTTCCTTGAACCACTTTATTTCCCTTTACTCCATCCCTCATAAAGCCTTAACAAATGAATAGAATGAGAAGGGCCACTCTTGATTCTCTTTGCAATTTCCTTGTAATGCCATTTCTTTGACCTGTCAGGGTATTTCGGAATGCCATGTCCACCACTCTTCTGGAAGACTTACCTAAAATAGTCTGGGTAACAGACTACACATAGAAGGGCAGAGAAAGAAACAGATACGACTTCTTCACACTTCACCCATCATGCTTGTGACCTATCGGCGTCTCTTATCTTCATTTTGGACACGGCTAGAGGGCTCTTCCAGAAGAATAGTAAACATAAGCAGCCTGGTTTATTTCTATACTATGGGGAACCTCAATGAAAGCAATCTGTAATTGAAGCAACTTGAAAGTGGGTAAAAAATTTCATTCCAGGCACCAGTCATGGTACTCCAGGCAGGCTTCACCTCACATAAAAAACACGCTGGGTTGAAGGGTAAATGCAACTCAGAGATCCGCCAATTGCTACATGTGAGCTGCAATGAGCTGTTTAACTGTTTAACTGTGAGCTGTTTAACTGACATTAAAACTCTTAGGGCAGCATCAGACTCTGACCTTGCCACGGAAGAGGAATGGGGCTTCAGGCATCATGGCCATGCAATTGATGTTGGTATACTTGCTGCCAATTGA